TTCTGGAAGCTTCAAATGAGGTTTTGGGGTTGAGCAATGCATACTAGAAGAAAAATATGATAGGTGTCACATTTAAATCAACTCAGCACAAACATAAAAATTACAGACAGGCAACACACAAATAAGCACACCAGTAACAACGGGAGAGAGGAAAGAAAGGAAAGAAAGAGTACCTTTTTGATTGCATAAGTTCTATAGGCCTATCATAGGCTTTGGTCTTCTTCATGACTTTGTGCTGGCTAAGTGAACACTCTTCTGCTGCATTCATAATCACTTTGGAGTAGATATAGTAGTAGCCCTCCTTTTCTACTGTCAGCCGGCCTTCTTTATACTTCATGTCTTGGGTGACTGCATCACCCTCTTTTGCCCATTGCACTACATCGTTCGTCCCCATAGGATTATCGGCGCCTTGGATAAAGAGAGAGAAAGCAGTTGCTTGGACCATAATTTATCTGAAGAGCTCATGTGCAGTGTTCATGTTTGAGTGATGAGGGGAGCCTCTTACCCAGCAGGTGAGCAAAGGGTCTCCTCTCATTTCTGCTCATCTTCCCATCTGTTCAAGAAAGCAAGGGCAGATCAACTAATTAATCAACCAGTGTAAAAAAAACATTTTTAAATATACACATAAAATTCTTAAGACGAAGTTGTGGGGAAAAACAATACAAAATTTCAACGTGTTAGCAGTCTAATGGTCTAAATTATATGATGATTTAATTGTTCTGGCTTCCCTTCACAGACAGTCTTCTATGCAGATCACGAATTATCAAGGAATCATGTTAAGAATGGGCATCTCAATACCTCTCACTTCTCCCACCAGACTTTCTGGCTTGGGGTTTGTCTGGTTCTTAAGGTCATGCTCATGGTTAGAAGAAGAAGCCTACAGGGAAGGAAAGATAAATACAACACAACAAATACTGAGTGAAGATCTTTGTGTGTTTGTCAAAATGTAGGAACCTCATGCAATAAGGGAAGGTGTCCTTTAGAGATGTATGGAAAAACACATGCACACTAAATGTAAATTCTGCAAATACATTATATATATATGTATATATACAAGTAATGTTTTACACATTAGATTAATTATTGTATGAAACCACATACTCCAATATTTTTTTCAACCTAAATGTAACAATAAAACCTGAGATCTTAGGTTTGATTTTTAAGTGCAGTTCATATTATATAGAAACAGAGGGCATAACACGTGAGAGGCAGGTGAATAATAAACAGCATTATGAAACTGTCTTTAAAAAAGTGAAGTTAATGTTGCAGCTTTGTGCTTGAGATACAAATAAAGGGAAGTACAACTAGAGAAAGAGTCCAGTTGAAAAACGTGTCACTATCGACCTATAACTTAAAGAGCAAACGAGGACCCACACCGAAACGCATTTAGCTCTGCAATGACATGTCTCAATATGACGTAGGGGCAAGCAGGGAAATTCTAAAGAGAAGGAATTTCCAGTCAGTCCAAGCACTGACACTTCTCTCTTCTCTTACAGCACACATGTACGCAATCACACACAGACCTCAGGCTCACCTCTGTCCTTTGGTAAAGTTTGTAGATTAAAAATCCTTCGACGATTATTCCCAACATGGCCAGTCCCACCAGCAAGAGAAGAAACTTTTGGAGCTGACTCCCCCACCTTGGTTTCCTTTCAGGGGGCATTTTAATGTAGCTGGCCTGACTGTCCACCACAAACACCTGGGGGCTGGCACCTGCGCCGCCCTCTGACATCCCACCAGATCAGAGACAACCTAAGATGTTAGGGTAAAGGTCAAAGGAGATACTGAAGGAAAAAAGGTTGTACAGTAGAGTGTAAAGAAACGGGGAGGGGAAAGGAAGATCAGACAGGAAATATTTTAAAAAAGAATGTGTGACAAAGCAACAATCTACACATAAACAAATCAGTTATTTTACGGTCTATTTAGGTTAAGTAGCCATGATGCAAGCAGTTTCTGAAAACAGTGCGATTTCTTCATATCCCGACTACTTGAACAGCACAGTGAAAGACAGCTTGTCAATCACATGAAAAAATAATAAAAACAAAACTCTTGTAAGGGAAAGAGAAATTACCTTGGATTTAAATGTTCCTCCACCGCTCAGCCAACCATCCAGCAGCACGGGGTAGTCTCTACACAGTCCTCTGAAGCTCGTTTGGGATATTTAATAGCAAAAGTATTGTTAACGCATTTAAAAAATATAGACCTAACAACATTCTCTGAACTACGCTACTGACTCATTT